AAACCACTCGTGGAGAGAGGACAATGCTCTGGACTCGGGTGGTGGCTGTGTGACTGGACAGATGGGTTGATTTGAGAGAAGTTTTTGAGAAGCAGAGCTGGTACTGAAATGGATTTGGAGGGTGACGGGAAGGGAGGAGTCATGGGAGAATTCCTGTATTTTATTTGACATAAGCACTGGCATGGGTAATGCTGCTATTTTGGGGGGATGACTTGGGGAAGAAATGTTGAGGGGCAGGTGGATCTAGGAGGCCAAGGACTTTGCTGTGGACATGGTATATTTAGGTGGGTTGGTCCAAGGGCAAATGTCCATTAGGGTAATGTGAGTGCTGGATGAGGTCTGAATTAAGCTCTAAGGATAAAGATGGACTTGGAAGTAATACAAGTGTGAACATTCAGAGGGTGTGTACGAGGGAAGCGTGCCCATGACCTCACCCTGAGAAATTCTAACATTGAGAGGTCAAGAAGAAGGGGAGGATCTTGAAAGGGAAACTGAGAGCTGGTCAGTGAACAGGAAGAGAACCAAGAAAGATACAGCCATGGATGCAAGGGAGAAGAGCATTTCAAGGGGTAGGGAGCAAACAGGCCCACTGCTGAGAGGTCAAAGAAGAGGCCAGAAGATTGTCTACTTGTTCTGGGCAAATGGGCAAAGACCTGCTTTTGATGTGGTGATGGGGTTCTAATGAGCTAACACTTCCTTAGGGGTGAAGTTAAAATATTAAGTATCAACCTGGGTTGCTTTTGGGGAAAATATGGCTTAGCTAAAGAGAAGAGAAGACTTGGGACCAGCATGGGTCAGGTACCCACCTGACCTGTGGTCTGTGTTTGAACTTGGTGGTTTGAGGAATAGGGCTCCCAAAGCGAAAGAACTATTTTCATTAGAAAGTCACTCAGGACATAAGCAGCCTGTCATAGGGGTTCAGGGCAAAGCAGAAGGTGGATTCGAAGGAGAGCTACAACTCCCAACTCTGCCTAAACCCAGCGGCTGCCCATTGCCCATTACTGCAGATGGTAAATGAGATGCTTTAAAAAGAAATAGTACATATATATATATATATATATATATATATATATATATACACATACATACATATATATATAATTATAAATATTACATGCTATTTATATATTCATTTTAAATATTATATGTAAGTTATATAAAGTAATATATAAATTATTCTATATATATTTTGAATTTGATATAAATGAAATCATATAATGTACCAAAAAATTTCATGTCAGATTTTGTTCAAAGTAATGTCTGTAAAATTCACCCATATGTGTGGCATGCCGTATTTTTATGAATACATATTTTTATGAATAAACCATAATTTATGCATTCTCCTATTAATGGATATTTGGATTGTTCTCAACTCAGGGATGTTATGAAAAGAGTGGGCATGAACATTTTATTTGGTGGACATTTTGAGGTGATTTTTTTTTTTCTCATGCCAAAAAACATCTACTGGTTTTGTTATGCTTATTTAGTATTTGGCCATCTTACTAAATTCTAATAGCTTTTCAGTTCATTTTTCTTGGAACACATTTTTGTTAGATAGAACTTTTTACCTCAAGTAACAGAAAACCTAATCCAAATTGGATTAAAGCCCAAAGGGTAACTGCAGAGTTCAATGTGAACTTCAGGAGAGGTGTGATCCAGAGGGCATTGCATCATCAAGGCCCATCTCAATTTCTCTAGGTTTCTCTTGGCTCTGCCCTTTTTCATATGCTACCTTTGTCTTCATCTTGACTCCTTATTGTGACAACAATCTCTACAGAAGTTTTGGAACTCAAGTCCTCACCATACCAGCCAGAGTAAGAGCACGTTCTTTGAAGAACACCCATAAGGAGCAAGGAGGCTTCTTTACCCTGGTCAATATTACCTGGTTTCTCATTGGTCCAAATTTTGAGCCAATCAAATCTTATGATCAAAAAGATAGTAGGTCCTGATTGGCTTAACCTAATTAGGGACCATTCCTATCATGAAGGGAGGCATTATACCCCCCAAACCACATGGTTGCTACACAAAGTGGCAGCGGTGAGTTCCCAAAAGGAATATCTGGGGACTTTTGATCTAAATGGATGCTAGGGAACCAACCACAAAATGTTTAATATGATATTTAGAATGGTATTGCCTATAATGATTATTCAGTGTCTCATTCTGACAGTTATATTTTTAAAGTTCTGTCACCTGTCTCAAAATATCAGCTGTGCATAGGGTCTTTTACATTTATGTGAAATGATGAAAATGGTTTTGAAACTTTTGAGAAACTTTGGAAAAAATGTTTATAGAAACTGAGGGGCAGAGGGAAGGACTAAGAAGCAAATGCTTCTTAACATTTGCTGTGTGATATCACGCCTGAGATCTGATGGCTAAGGATCTAGCCCCAAAGGGATCAACCCAAGAGATGGTCAATAGTTGAGATGGACTTGGCAGTGTGGGAAAGCATATCAGTTTTCTATCATTGTACAACAAATTTCCAAAAATGTGATGGCTTAAAACAACATGAATATATTGTCTTGCAGTTTTTGCAGGTCAGAAGTCCAGGCACAGGATAGCTGTGTTCTCTGCTTGAGGTCTCACTGGTCTGAAGTCAAGGTATTGACCCAGCTGCCTTCTGGTCTGGCCCTCAGGGTCCTCTTCCAAGCCTGCTGAGGTTGTTGGCAGTGTTCAGTTACTTATGGTTGGAGGACTGAAGTCCCCATCTTCTTGAGTGAGCTGGCTGTTAGCTGTGGTCACTGTCAGCATCTTGAGTCTGCCTTCCAGCTGCATGGTCTTCTTGTAACAAGTCAGCTTATTTCTTCAAGGCCAGTAGGAGATGTGGAACTTGACCCCAGGACCCTGGGATCATGACCTGAGCTGAAGGCAGATGCTTAACTGACTGAGCCACCCAGGCGCCCCTCACCCAGTGAACTTCTATTCATCTATCACACCCTACTTCCCCCCACCCCCCCTCAAGGAGATCAGGAGCATGACTGAACAGCATTGTTCTTGAGAAGCTCTTTTGTTTCTCTTGATGGGCTGGATAGGGAGGACCTGCAGGCTGACTAATACAGGCCAGGCTCCATTCCACACCTGCTTTGAACATCCCTGGAAGAATATCGGGCAGCACTCAGAAGCAGTATGAAAATAAACAATTGTTATTGAATGAATGGTTTGAGTGCTTATCTTCTATTAACTCATTTAAACCTCATGACAACCCAATGAGGTATTGATGGTTATTGCCCCACTTTATAGATGAGAAAACAAAGACACAGAAGGCTTAGTAGTGGAGCTAGTGTTGAAACCCAGCACAGAGCTTACACCTTCCTACAGTACTGACAGTATCAGCGCCTGACCCACAGCATAGAATTAAGTGAGATGTGCATATCAAATGTTCAGTACCTGCCATATGGCAAATTTGCAAGGCATGAGAATTATTCTTATTACCTGTGCCAAGGAAGCTTCTGTTTTCCTATTCTTCAGAACAGGAGGTAGAAAGAAAATAAAAATAACTAACAATCCACTCCACCTCCCAAAAGACCCTCACCCTTATTTGGCTGCCCTATGTTCCTGTTTGAAGGAGCCAGGGCTCAGTTCCATTATTTGGAGGAGAAGATTACAGAGAGGGGCAGGACACAAGAGCAGAAATGACATCTGCAAATTATGGGTTCTAGATGATGGGGAGAAAGAGAAGTGTTAGATGGGTTGGTCCCTGAGCCCCCTTAACCAACATATGTAAGTGCCACACTGGAATGCTCAGTAATAGCAGTACTTTCCCACATCCTTTCCTTTTCGGGTTACATTTAGTCAATGGCACGCCTCATAGACTTAAAGAACATTCTTTATAGCAGAATTTTTTGCTTGAGTCAGTCCACTTGACTGCTGTCTTCAGGAAAACGTGGTGGGAATTTTCAGTGAAGATTCAGTTAATTTAAGCTCCAATGAGAAGTAAGGATGATCATAGTTAGAAGACAGCTTCCTTTTATCTGGGTGACCTTGGACAAATGACTTAGTATCTCTGAGCTTCAGTTTCCTTGTCAGAAGAATGGAAATGGTAGTGGTATATAGATAAAGGCATATGAAATGCTTGATCTAGTTCTAGCACATAATAAATAATTCCAAAATATTACCCATTATGATCTCACTTAACACTCAAAACAGCCTTGTTAAATAGGGATGATGATTATGATTATTGCCCATATTTTACAGGTGAGACCTTGAGTCTCAGATAGCTTCTGTGTTCCCCCTGACACTATGGCACTGGCCACGGTTATTGATTATCTGTCAGATTCTTTTCTCTTCCACTTTGCCTACATAGTGGGATGGAATTCCATAAATGTCTTGGCAGGTTGACAGCATATCTTGATAAGATATTAACCACCTCTGCAAAATATGCAGACTTTAGAAAAACAAGACGATACAGGAGATTCTAAGACCTTTATGTTTTCCTCTGTACAAGTCCCTAAGTCAAATTGGAATTAAGTGTATGTATAAAGATGGATTACAAGATGTCCATCATAACTTGTTTACATAACCCAAACTGTGTAAAAAACCTAAATGTTCAACAACAGAGGCTCATCGGATTCATTGTAGCATATGCGTATAGCGAGATATTATGGTACATCAAAAAGCAAAATACAATTGTGTATTTGTCTCTATAAAAATATGTTAGTATATTGTTGTATGTTTAAAGTAGGTTATAATTCATGAAGTATGAATCTGTTGCATGAAGAGGAAATATATGTTTATATAAATAGCACATATATATCTAATAGATGCATATATATGCATATAAAAACGTCTGGAAAGGTGCGAACCGAATTGTCTCCTATGGTTGTTTCTGTTGGAATAGGAAGTATGGGTAATTCGAATTTTCTGCTTTCTTGTGTGTTTGAGAAGGAGATTCTTTACTTTCTGATCTTTATGGAATGTATAACAATTCTAGCTACTGAGAAAAAGAAAAGAAAAAAGAAGCGTTTCAAGTCTCCATTTGTGCTAACACTGGTTGAACATTTCAGGTGATTGTGAAGACAAGAACAGAGTATCAGCCTGAACAGAAGAACAAAGGGAAGTTCCGGGTGCCGAAAATCGCCGAATTTACGGTCAGTTTCCTTACACAAATTGTAAAGGTAAGGCTGGCTTCAGCCAGCTCAAGACTCCTCGTGCTAGTAGAGCAGGTGCTACTGGAGAGTGGGAAATTACATAAGACTATTTCTGGACGATTTCTTGAGGTCACACTATCTGGCTCACTGAGTCTAATCAAACAACAAAACCTCACCTCGTGAGGACTACATATGTTCTCTTTTGCTCTGGAATGCTCGGATAATTTGAAAATTGATAAATGTGCCTCCTTCCTTCTTTTCCCCCTGTCCCCATCTCTCTACATTTCCATCACAATCTCCTGGAAATATGATGGAAATCTATTTTTTAAAACCCTCAAATTTTAGTCAGTGGATGTTTATAACAAAATACAAAAAAGACAAAGGACAAAAAAAAAGCTGACTTCTTGGTGGGAAAAACCCAAATGGTTGACCTTTTGTTTCTTGGTGGAGGGGTTACTAGGAAGATTGACAAATATATATCATTGTGATAAGTCTCATGAAGGAGTCATGAAATATTCTCTGCAAGGACGAGGATAGAAACTTCAGGGGAGTACCGTGGAGAAGTCACTTAGGTGCTGAGAAGAGCACAGCTTGTGCAAAGGCCCTGAAGCTGGTACCAACTCTGAATAGGTATAAGTGCAGTGAGGTTAGGCTCTTAGAAGGGGGTAGGGAGTACCAGATATGTGACAGGAGAAGTGGGCATAAAGCAGATAATTCTAGGCTGTTTAGACTATATGGGGGAATTTGAGCTTCATGCTAGAAGCATAAAGGAAGCCACCGAAGGATTTGAAGAAGAGAAGAGACATGATTTAATTGGGTTTTAAATAAAGCACGTTGGCTTTTATGTGGCCCATGGACTATAGACGGCAAGTGGGAATTTGGGGAGCTATTAGGCTATTGCAGTTATCCCAAGAGAAAGAGATGGTGGCTGAAACAAGAATGTTGAGCAGACAGAGAGACACAGGAAGACCTAAAAGATATTTAAGAGGCAAAATCAGCCATGATTTTACTAGATCAAGTGGTTCCTTAGATCGACATTGGAGCAGTCTGGCTGGATATGAGCCCTATTTCCACCTTATACCAGCCAAGCGGCCACTGCAAGGCCACAAACCTCATGTATTAGATGGAGGTAATAGTAGGGTCATTGTGAGGGTCAAGTGCAGAAGACATGCAGGGTACTGTGATCTGTATGTGGTAAGTACAAATGAACAGTAACTCTTCAGTGTCAGCTGTGACTGGAGGCTTTGAAAGCGAAAACAGCCCTTGGTCGGAGTATGTACATGGATAAACATGTTGGTCTCTTCCCGTCCCTCCCTGTCTCCCTGCTAAAGCTGGGTTAAGCAGTTGGCTCTGTGAGCCTGAGAGGGCGTGTGGCCCCTCTCTATGCATCCCCCAGAGTGTAGTAGTTCCCTGGATGCTGATGCCTGCTTTGAGGGCAGGGGCTGCCCTTATTTTTGTACTTCGGTGTCTGGCTCACAGCATAGGTCCCATAAATATGGACCCAGCCTGAACTGCACACCTGCAAGAATGAGCTCAGAGCTTCAGTGGGAGGCCCAGGGCACCTTGGTGCACAAAGTATATGTACTGGGCCAGAGAGTAAGCTGACCTGTGCTCCTGGCAACGGAGACCATTAGAGACGCGGGGCTCAATCCCAGGACCCCAGGATCATGACCTGAGCCGAAGGCAGAGGCTTAACCCATTGAGCCATCCAGGTGCCCCTGCAGTGTTATTTATAAAATCAAAGTATTGGAAATAATGCTACATTTTCAACAACTTCCTCATGATTTTGTAAATAAGACCACAGCCATCTGATGGACTATTTTCACAGTTTCTCAAGGTTTCCTTTCTCTCAGCAAGTATTTCATCTACTCTGAATTATGGGCTTCTGCGATATTTTCAACTTCTTTTTACTTTCCTGTGCTTTCCAAATTTGATACGAGCATGCATGATTTTGATAATCAGAAAAAAGGTAGAATTATTTTTAAAAATTTGTCTGTTTTTCACCAAATAGCATGGTTCAAGCTTCTGATGGAATTATTCCTTATTTATCAGTTGCTTTGCAATGATGGTTATGAAGATGCACAATAATTTGGGCAAATACTTCACAGGGAAAGTTGAGTGAAGAAAGCAGGGATTCAAATTGTGTGTTTTCCAGGATTGGAACTATGCAAAAAACCACAAGTAAACAGAGGAAAAAGGACATGGCAGGAATGCATCAACATATGCCATCTGGGGGCGCCTGGGTGGCTCAGTCGGTTAAGCGTCTGCCTTAGGCTCAGGGCATGATCCCAGGGTCCTGGGATGAGTCCCCCATCAGGCTCCTTGCTCAACTGGGAATCTGCTTCTCCTTCTGCCTGTTGCTTCCCCTGCTTGTGTGTTCTCTCTCTCTGTCTCTCTGACAAATAAATAAATAAAATCTTAAAAACAAAACAAAAATTGGGGTGCCTGGGTGGCTCAGTGGGTTAAAGCCTCTGCCTTTGGCTCAGGTCATGGTCCCAGAGTCCTGGGATCGAGCCCCACATCAGGCTCTCTGCTCAGCAGGGAGCTTGCTTCCTCCTCTCTCTCTGCCTGTCTCTCTGTCTACTTGTGATCTCTGTCTGTCAAATAAATAAATAAAATCTTTAAAAAAAACAAAAACAAAAACAGAAACAAAAACAAAAACATATGTGACTGCATTACAGCAGTGGTGTTGGATGATTTTTTTCTCTTCTTTGACCACTTTTGGTGATGTTGCTGTTTAATTATATAAATATATATTTAATAAATATATTTATATTTCTATGATATAAATCATAGAAATATTTAATCATATTTAATCATATTTAATGCCCACAAGCCCTTGTGGACATTTAAAGAGACTGATGGTAATCCTCCATTTCTCAAAGGGGAGCCATGGCTCAGAGCAGTGATGCGATCTGCTCCCCTAGCCAGCAAGTAGCCGGGCCAGCACTCAGAGAGAAGCCAGATCAGCCTTTCTGTTCAGCCGCTCACCTGCGGTAGTCGGTCACTCCCCATTCAAACAGAATAGAAGTGAGTCAATTAAGAGAAAAGGAGGGGTGCCTTCAGGGCCTGGGGCTGCAGAAGCTCCCCATGCAGCTTGACTCGATTAGTCCTGGGGGTCAAGAAGGAAGGGTGTTGGATTTGGGGGCAGCAGTCCCTTGTCAGAACTGGCTGTCAGGGCTGGGCAGGGGGCCCTGCCACTCAGAACAAAATGCGAGGAACAGAGCAAATCCGTTTGTTTACGTAAAGCTGTAAGCATTCATTAGCCTTTTTTTGCTTTCTTAAAGAGAGCTGCCTCTGGGTTGTGCGGAGGATCTATCTGTTGGGGTGAGCGTGGCTGGAGGCTTTGGGGAAGAATGTGAGGGTGTGAGGTGTTGGCTGCAAAAAGGCTTGGGGGGCCCTGGTGGGCTGTTTTGAAGACGGAATTTATAGGACTTGCTCCTGGTGGGAAAAGGGGGGGCAGTTAGAATACTCCTCGGTGTTTGGCTTGGCTGGCTGGGTAGGGGGATGCTGTCCACTGAAGTAGGAACTGGGGGCCTAGGTTGGGGGACATGCATTGAGTGTGAGATGCCTGGGCATATGGGCCATGGATGGTGGCGGGGTCACCCTTGTATGTAGATGGCTGGGGCTCAGGATGAAGTTCTGTGCTGGACACCCCAGGGCTAGAAGTCAGAGAATTCCCAGTTAGCATTAGAAAGTGTGGTGCTGCGAAATAGTGGCCGGGCTGCCTCCCCAGGACATTGATCATGGCGGAGGGAACCTTGGGGAGGGTGAAGAAGTATCCGTCCCCCATTCCAAGAACCTCGCAGGGGTGGAAAAGCTTATTACCTCACATTTCAGAGCTGACCTGGAGAGAACAGCTCCAAGCCTGCGAGAGAGAATGAGAGGAGAGAACGGTGGGGTGGGGGGGAGATGAATTGAGAAAGACTGGCTAAAAGGATTGACTGGACTTTGCGTCTTTTCTAAAACCAAGAAGGCTCTTGTGAGAAGTCACAGACTTAAGAAAGTGTCCACCAGGCTACTTAAGAAGACAGGAGCATGAAGAGAGGAGCTCCTCCTTCTTTCTTAGTCTGGGGAGCTGAATGTTCCTCTAAAGCTGGTTTTGCCAAAGAAGGCATTGTGCAGGGCACTGGTCTGTGCAGGACGCTGGTCTGCACGGGATGCTGGTGCGTTATAAGGCATTTTTTCACTATTTATCTATCTGCTGTGATCTACTCATTTCTTTGTCTTCCTGTTCTGCTCCTGACCTGCGATTGCTGCCTTATGTATGTTATCTCACTGAATGATCCCAGCACATGGGGCTGGTGAGCTCATTGCCCCACTTGCAGGTGAGGGAAATAGGCTCAGAGAGGCTGGTCCTTCCCCCAAGTTCCACACCAGGAGGCTGTGTGGCTGGTCTGGGCTCCCAGGCCCTACGCAGGAAGTTAGGAGTCTGGAAAGGCTGCAGTGGAATGGGAATGGGGCTACCAGTGAGCAGCTCTCTGGGGATGCTGCCCAGCCAGCTTCCCTGCCAGTTGCTCCTTTCCTCCTTCTCTTCTGTCTGGCCAGGGGATGGGGCCTTGGCTCTCCGTCTCGGACCTCTGCTCCACTAGCGTCCCCTCCCATGCCAACATGGGAAAAGACTTGGGGCAGTGCCAGAACCAGCCTTGCCAGGCTCTGTTGCCTCATCTGACAGCTGGCAGACTCCAGGCCCCTCTCCCTCCTGAAAGACTCCTCCTGAGAGACTCCTGAAAGACTGTACCTTCTTCTCTGTTCTCCCATCCTCTCATCGCCCAGCCTCATCCTGGATCGCTCTGCCTCCTTTGTCAGACTCCAGTCCATTCTTCTCACCACCGCAGAGGAGGACTCTTCCTAAAGCGCATATCCTGTAAGGGCTTTGCCACCTTTAAAACCCATCCACAGCCCCCCCGTTCCCCGCCCCGCCCCGCTCACCTGCCTCTCCCACAAGTACTCTGACTGCCCAAAGCACTTCCTTAGACACTGTCCACGGTCTAACTCCC